ATTATTACGCAAGTGCCAAGGAACACGGGAACCTGTGGCCGAGACAGACATTTATTCACGAAAATGAATTTTTATAAGAGTGCGTGACGCCGCTTCGACCTCTGGTGGCTGGTTCTTTGAATCAACATTCTATAGCTCCAGATTGTCCTCCTTTTGCCGAAGATGTGTCTATTCTAACGGAGATTTATGATGGAGATTCTCTCTTGTGGGAGTTCGTATTGATTTTGTCAAATGCGGTTGAAACAATTGTCTTGTAAGTACTTTATATTGAGATGTAAACATTTTTGTATATTTTTTTGTAATTTTAAGGATAAAGAAATGAAACTATAGATTGTTTTTTGTTTACCATTTATTTAACTAATTTCCGAAGCGATTATTTCAGGTATAAACTGATGTATTTAGATTCTATTTACTACTTAAAAATAATACCTTTGGTAATTTCTTTAAAACAACCAAAGGCGTAGAAGCGCAAAATCAGTCGGACTAAGTCCATTTTCAAATTTAAGGGGTGCTTGCCCCTTCAGAGGCGTCCGTCATAGATTTTCTGTCACAGTGAACAGGCGAATGGCATTATCACAGTGGTGCTTTTTTACAAGAATTCCAAAAAAATTTGCGGACTTTAATTTTATCGTTGCTGATATTTACAACGTTGTTAAGAAACACTTGCTGGACGACCAACATTGTGTACCAATGAAAAGTCATAGAAAAAGTTGAAGAATCGTTAACTTTGGTTCCGCCTTTTAAGTAAATTTATTTACAAATCTGAAAAAGTTATTTTCTTTCACTAGTTTTCCTAATTTTCAAAAAACAAAAGCTAACTTTCGTTTGAATATTGATTTATGTCACTATGCAACCAATATTACACATGCGTTTGTTAAATTGTATAATCTGAAAACCAAGGCACAGTATAGATATCAATCAGTAGAGACAGCTCGTGTCGGCGCCTTTGTTCTTTCTGACCCGAATTTTAAGCCGTCATGGGTGGTCGTTGCCTAAACTATTTCTAGATGTCGCCACCCAATTTAAAAAGTATCACTTCATTTACAATTTCAAAAATTGATTCGTGTACGCAATTTATTGCAAACTGTGTAGTTTGCTCAAATCGTATATACGTGAATCGCAATAAGAAAAAAGAAAAGTCGATATTTAATTTATAAACACGATGATTTGTTACAGTTTTTATTTTATTACTTATACAATTTGACAATTCGCACATTCTTTCCCCGAATACTTGAGGTTTAATTATCATTGTAAAAATAATGTAATAAATACATCTAAAAAGAAAGAGGTTTATTTAAGAAAAAATAAATAAAATAAAAATTAAATTGCAAAAAGTAAAAAAGTTAATGCTGCCAAATTATTTTCTTTCTATTAATTTTTTCACCTTTGGCATTTGTAAATTTAAAGCTAGCATTTACAAATTTTAGTGCATAAAATAATCTCATCCTAGCATACAAAGCAAGCAAATAATCGTATGGAAAGTTTTGCCATGGATGAACAAATGTAGCTTGCTTATATAAATTTAAAAATTTCAACAAAGTAAGTAGTTGTTTGTAAAATTATATTTTCAAAATTTTCACTAAAATTTGCTCTAATTCACAAATGTAAAAAAAAACAAATTATAGTTTGGCATATATAATTTACCAAATAACTCGCAATTCTTCGTTTGGTAGGCTCTGAAATGTAAATATATGCTTTTGTTGTCTAAACTTTTATGTTCATTTGCATATTTTTCACATTCACTCCAACTATGTACTAATAAACATTTCCGAATTAGGTAGCCACAGATATATCTAATTGCGTTTTGTTCAGCTGTGTGAAAGTGATAATCACAATCTTTTAAGGTGGTTTTCTGCATCGTGGTGACTGATTCGTCTTCATCAAAACGACGACCTACATTTAACTTTAAAATTTCTTCCATATCAGGTTAGCAGTTTTGATTACCTGTGTTCGTTTCATCAAAATAATCTTGTATGATTAATTTTCTAAAAGCCATTTGAAATTGATTAGATGTGGGGTTAATAGAATTTCCATTTTGTTTCCTAATCCATCCAAAACAGTTTTCTAGTGCGTCTTGGCAAAGGCGTCTTGTTAATATATAGTCAAACCCATTTTACCTAACAACTTAACCCGTAAGCGTAATATCATATATAAAGTAAAATTTTTATTTAAAAAAAATTATTACAAAAAAAAATGCATATTTGTCGGCTCACATAAAGTGCAGGTAATTGGTATGGGTCGACGCAGGTAAGAATAATTAAGGAATTCATGAAACCGGAAGTCCATAGGGATTAAGCGAAAAAGGATATTTCACAAAATGTACGGCTTGGGTCATTTTTACCCACGCGCGACTGCTTATGGGTTAAGCAACGTCTCAAAATAAAACTCACAATTGTGTTTGTAGATCAAAAAATATATATATACATGATGAATAAAAAAATTGTTTATTGAGAGAAGGTCTGCTTATATAATTTTTTGTTACGTGTAGTTTGTTTCTTATTATTTTTATATTTAATTTCACCACAACAACGGAATCATATATAATAAATTTTTATTTTTTATTTCATAACCACCGTTGTTGTCCGTTTGCGACGACTTTTTAAGCAAAAAGTGTGTTATGTTTACTATCTTTTCCAAGAATTCCAAACACGATGGAGAGAATAAGGCGCACAACAGGGATCCTGTATGAAAATTCATCGGACAAAGATTTTACCTTTTATTGTGAAAATTACATTTTTATACTATTTATACAATTCTACCGGAAAAGCGGTCTTAAACAAGCAAAACCGGCAAAAATATTGTAACAAAACTACCAAATTTCAAATATTTTAGACGTCAGTTGGGCGCCCTCATTCGGTCATAATGCGAACGACCACCCACGAAAACGAGTCAGGAAAAACGGCGAGTTGTCTCTACTGATTGATATCTATACTGTGCCATTACTCAGCAGGTATGCAACCAACTTAACATTAATTATCCTATGTTCAGACATTGATGGTTCAGAGAAAAAAAAACCTCACGGTATATTTAGGATTATTGAAAATATGTATCATTACTTTTTATATTTTGTCGCGCCGCCTTTTGTAATTTTATGGGCATAGGTAAGGGTATTTGTAAACAAAATTTTTCTTTTAGCGGGACATTTAAAAAAAAATTGCGATGAAGTCATCAACATTTTTGCAAGGACACGTATATCAGTTTGGATCTACCTATATAATCGAAGATGATATAAGTGACAGTTATAATTCGACCCTTCGACTCTGACCGACTGAATATAGGTATGACAGTTGTCTGTGATTGACATTGGCAACACAAAACACTAGTAAAGTTTGTCCAGAATTATAAGAATTTTATGGACTCCCAACGTTAATTCGTTTTACAGCCCAGGCCTCAATTCTATTGTACAGGTAAAGAGCCTGTCAGGAGAAAATCGATGTTTACTGTACCTGAGTTCGCCCCGCTCTTCAGCTGTACAATAAAATTGACAACAGGGCTGTAAAACGAATTAACTTTGGAAGTCCATAAAATTCTTATAATTCTAAACAAACTTTAACAGTGCGAACATCAACATCAACACATAAGACGGCTAGACTTAAATTTCATTGGTTGATTTAGGGGCAGCAAAAAATGTTTGCAGCCCAAGGAGAATTTTTTTTTCTGTCAAGGCAGTGAAGTGGGACTTTGTATTTATCAATTGAGGTATTATGCAATGACCGGTATTTCTGAGGTTTGAAGAAAAAAATAGCCATGGAGTGGTGTTTGCGTTGGTGGAGACCCTGGAGTCTTGTCCGTGAGCCGCGATGGGCCGCGCGCAAACGTGGCCGGCTCTGCTGCACTGGAGGGGTCGAGAAACCGGGGGAACGGCAACCGGACCCGATACGCCCCAGTCCGTCTTAATAAAGACACCCTCCTGTCTTTGTTAGTTGTTCGCTGTGTGTAAAAGACATTCTGATAGTGATGGAGTACCCGAGGCACGTGCAACAGTCCCACACGCCGCCCATGCGGATACGCAATGTGGAAAATGGATGTAAGTACCTACATTATTTACAAAATAATTTTACATATTTAGTTTATGTGATCTTACAAAACAGTTTAATAAATCAACTTAATAATAACAGTAAAATACATACCTACATATTCATGTATGTACATTTCTCTCTAAATTGTAAAAATTCATTAGCCACAAAAGTATAATTACAATATTAAGAGTACATTTACATATACACAGTAAAAAATGTAGAGTTGATCCAACTACAAAATGTTGCTCAAATAGGTCCACTACATCTTTTTAGTTAATTTGACCACATGGCTTAAAGCAGTTTTTTACTAAATTAATTTCGTAAAATTTAGCAATGCCTTTAGTTCAAAATCAGTTGTTTTATTGTTAAGTATTCTACTTACCGTTGTTTAAATTAACATTATCGTAGTATGAATACAACTACATTAGCCTATGGATTAGAAACATTTTTGATTGTATTGCACGTTTATATTGTTGCTCGTACCATTTGTTTTTGCAAACATATCTGCCACTAACTGAATTTTTAACAACATAAGCTGTTGATTTTGCAAGAATTATCGTGTTCGTTTGTTTTTGCGTATAGTCAATAACCATCTAGTTTGTGGTCTTTTGACAAGCTCGAAAGTGATACATTATCAAATTTGCTAGTTATTTTAACCAGTGAACTTGGTTCTTCTAACAAAATAAACTGGTTGTACTGCACTTATTCTGATGTCTTGGATGTATTTTGGCATTATCATTTTGTTAACTTAACAGTTATTTTGTTACTTTTACATTTTATTGTAGTTAATGTTCATGCCCCTTGTTGGTTACTTAACTAAGTAATTTTGTTCTTCTGACCAAATTGTATCGCCAAATTACCCACCCTTGAAGTCCCAATGATTTAATAATAAAACTCATTTATTTATATTTTTTTATTTTCATACAAATACAATATACATTCATAGAAAACAAATAGATTTCCCGAATTAGGTTTTACACAGATAACAAATTATTGTACATTTACATTTATGATAATATAGAATACTTAGGAACAATTGCATTAATATTGCTACCAAAAGGATGATGTAACTCATATGAGACAAAGTGATTTACACTTTTCAAGTCAACAATTTCAAATATTGTGTTATTAGGGCTGCGTATAATGTAAGCTTGATAAATCTCGTTAAATGTAATTGTATCCCAAGTCGTACAAATTAAATATGGACTATTATTAATAATAAGTAACTCAATTATCTCGGAAAAAAGTGGGTATTTTTCATCGTGTTCTAATGTAACAAACATTTTCTTTTGGAAGAAAGTACTGAAGGCAGTTACCGAATTTGTAACAGTTACGGAATAATTGTCTTCAACACCAAGTATTGAATCAACAAAATGTTTTAATGAAACAGAATATAATTTATTTTTGTAATTAATTTGACTGCATTTTCCGTATAATGGTTGATAACCTAAATTTATGTTGTTCCATTGGTGCCATATGTGCTCCTGATGTCGAAAGCTCAGAGTTTTGCATAAAGATTTGTAGTTTTTTAACTTGGTCACGAGATTTTTAAAATATCCATGTTTAGCTTCAAAACGCATGCAACACAAGCCTATTAGAGGTCCCATTTTTAAGATTATGTAAGGATAATGTATCATGAAATGATGTTTGGGTGTTAAATTAATATTGTACTCTTTTATAACTAATTCATGATGTTGCCTAATTAATTCCTTTAGTTCAGAAACACTTGCTTTTGTATTCACTGTAGAAAATACTATGTTAACAATTTTTAGAATTAATTGAATAACTTGGTATTTTCTCTGGTGTTGTTCGGATAACGATAGTATTTTATCCGATAAAATTAAAGGTATGAACTTCAATAAACAGAAAGTCTGTGCGGCACGTTGGCCTATTGAATTACCTAGTTTATCAAGACTTATGGGGCTTGGTTTAGTACACTGATAATTATGTCCAAAATTGAAAGATTTTATTCTGTCATTAATATCTTCGAGGGTTATGATTTTTTCTGAAATAAGAAATTTGAAAAATAATTTAAGTTCCAGTTGTATAACACCTTCTAATAAGTCATGCATAATGTCTACAGACTGATTATTACATAACTTAAATTGAGTAAGATTATTTAAGGAACTTCGGAATTTAATGCCACAGACCGTATTATTAGATCTTTTCGAAAGATCGGTTTCCTGTTTTAGCGATCTACAATGTTGTTCATACATAAAATCACTTCTTAATAAACTTTCATCTTGAATGGCTCTACTTTGTGCGTCTGTTTTATTAGCAATGCAAATGCGGCAATAGTTAGTCGAGGAAAAAGATTCTACCATGCCAAAAATTTGATTAGCACCCAGATTGTCATGACTAAGTGAGACAACTGTGCCTTTTAAAAATGTCTTTGCAACGTCATCATAAACTCCTTGCTCTTCTAAAATTTTAATATCTTTAACAATGATATCTAGAACTGAGTTCATGCCAAATTTCTTTATGTCATTGGCATAGAATAAAGCAACTAAATGAATATTCTCCAAAACTGAATTTAACTGAGCGGGTAAGTTCTTTATCATCATGTAAATTGCTCCAATTTTGTGTCCTCCCGTTTTGGATCCTAATGGATTTACCGTATCAAATTCATCGAAGTAGAGCTGCAGCTGAAACGCATGAGGGTTTTCTTTAAAAAATGCACTCTTTCGGAAAATACTTCCATGTGAAAATTCAGAAAGAATGTTGGGGTGACTTTCTTTGGGTTTTTGAAATAATAATTTTCGAAAAGAGTCATTTTTTAAAAGGAATTGTAATGTTTTTAAAATTGGAACATACATAAAATGACATGACATCAGGATTTGTTCGTAGACAAACTTTTCCTTATTCCATATTTGGTCGTATCTTATGCCTATTGGAATTTCAATAGGTTCAACTATATGTTTTTTAAAATACAATTCTCTTTTATATTTTGTGTTAATATCTGAAAATGCATTCTGAACAGCTATGGTGCTACTGATTCGTGTATCCGAAATTATTTTTAGTAATTTTTCATTCATTTCTAGGATATTTTGAATGGTCGAGTCTGGTAAACCCAGAGAGTATAAACTCGAAACATATGACGCACAGTAATCACTTAACGATTTCTGATTAGTATTTGATGTTAGGTTACATCCAAAATCAAAATGTTCGTTAGTAGATGCACATATTAACTCAGTTTGAGGTTTTACAACATTAGAGATTGAAGAACGATCCTTATTAATTTTGTGTGTGTTACATTTTTGAATGTGTCTCCTATATCCACTAAAAGTTTCATATATGTTGGTACAACTAAAGCATTTTAATCTTAATTTTTCGTTATCGTACAAAGCATGCACCTGTCGTAAATGTTTCAAAAATTTACCTAACGCTAAATTACTAAAAGTACATAAAAAACAAGAAAACATGTTTAAAACTAATATAAAAACTAAAAAATACTTCTAAAATGTTAACACAACAGTGTAAAAATGATATTTAGGTATTTCTTTATTCAGATTCATCGCTTGATGGCGACATCAAGTGATCCATTTTAGTTCTCAACCAACGAATTCTATCGGATATTGTCTTTACTTCTAAATTATAAAACGCATTTTGAACAAATTTATAAAAATACTCTAAAGATTTCTCAAAATCTAAATTAAATACAAAATGTACTTTAAAACAAAGATCAAACGCAGTTATTACATTTTGTTCAGGAGAAGGGATTATGTGTTCGTCAAATACTACGTAATATTTACTTATTGCAGCTTTGGATGTTCCAATTGCCAGTATGAACGGTTGTTTGGATGGTCTTTCCTTCAAAATAGTAGTGAAAGGTACTTGCATATCTTTAAATATTATAAGTTTGTTTGCAGCTGTAGCGGCACTTTGTTTTCTTGCATTTTTAGAGCTAGTTGGGGGTAACAAGTAAACCAACATTAAAATTGCATTGGTACTTGCATTCCAATCTGAAAATAAAATATGTTAGATACATACCTCTAAAAGATAAAATCTTTTAATTAATCTGGTACCTTGGGGGTCCTTATTTTCTTCGTGTAAAAACTTTGTGTTTATATTTGTTGCTGTTGTTGTGTATAGTTTTTTAATTATGGAAATATTTTTTGAAAAAGTTTTATGAAATATATCATTTTCAGGAAACATTAGAGAAAATTCCAAACTTATCTAGAAAACAAAATTTCAAATAAATTAACAAAAAGTATTTTCACCCTTACTAAGCCAGGCGTATCAAAAAACCTGGGAAATAATTTATCGATATCTTGTCTGTGACTGTTTCTAAAGTCAAATGTCTGTCTTGTGCGTTCAAAAATATCTTTTATCTGTTCCTGCGTTGCTGCCTTCAAAAACTCTATGGTTTCTTGAACACTCTCATCATACTCATCACTATTGACTGTGGAATTCTCTTGAATTGTAGAATTTCCTTTTTTCACTTTTTTATCTCTAAAAACAGTTCGTAAGCGGCCAACGATGAATCCCCTAAATGCTTCCTAAAATATTGTTAATAACATGGAACAATTTATTATCTGTAAGGACCCAATTTAAAGTCGGATTTGCGATAATCACAAGTCGCATTGTATCGTAACTACTGTCATCGTATCTCCCATGGTAACGGAGACTTGCAACTATCGCAAAATTCAACTTGAAATTGGCTATACTAAATAGACGATTATACTAAAGCTACTGCACTAGATCGGCAGTACAAGTTGATGTGGTGACCTTAGAATGTACAAGGTATCTTTTTTATTGATAAATATGTGTAGTTTGAATAATTTGTCATGCATTTTGAAATGTGAAGCTCGTCGTTTAAACTTAAATAAATATAAAAAGACACCCTGTATACTAACATTTTAAAATACGCACGATGAAGGCATACTTACATATCCTTCGTCAGTATGTACATCTTTCAATTTTGGGAACAGTGTTACTATGCATTTAGCATATTGTGTTCTCGTTTCAGCAGAAGGTAAAGTATTGGGGGGCATAAATTGTAACATATGATCAACTGCGATATGCACCAATCGTATCCTATGTTTGTCATCTAATGTTCTATTTTCTTTATAGTAGCTGATTACTTGTTTGCCCCAAGCATCAGATAACAAATAGTTTTTGAATTCCTAAAACGTATCATTGGTGATACATATATAGTAACTTGTTACCATTATAACGACATACGTGATCAGTTAAATTGTGGTATGAAATTGATGATGTCTTTAGTCGCTTCTTACCAGTAGGGGAAACTATTAATGAATAAGAATCATCATCTTCATCGAAATTTGAGCAGATATCGGATGGTGCCGGGGACGTAGGCAAGGACTGCAAAGTTTCCGTACTGGCACTACTAACTCCTCCGGTATATGCCAATGAATAGGTTGAAAAGGCAGGAGAATTTATATTTCTCTCCATAGGCAATTGTTCTAAAATTTTAATTTTGATGATTAATGGAATTATTAAGAGTGCAAAAACGAGCAAGCACTATTTTTCCTACTATCGATTAAAAAATACTGCCAGTAATTTTAAACATTGGCTATTATTTATGATCTGACAACTTTCTAAACTATATCTACTATACTGATATATCTTTTTGAGTAAAATATTGCAATTTTAAAAGTTTTAAATGTTTACCACCATAAACTCTTTGTCTCTGATGTTTTTTTAAATGACTGAAATTGCCTCAGTTTTACGTGTTTTTTGAGCAGAACACTATTTTGTATTTCCATATAGGTACATATATAGTGCAAAGGCAAATGGACCAAATACTCTCAAAGCAATTGTAAACTCGCTAAGCGATTGGAGTGGTACCTTTCAGTATTGTCATTTAATACGTTCAATAGTTTACCTTATATAATGTCTAATAGTTTTTAAATAATTAAAATACCTATGACTTCATCGTCCTTTACAAAACTCAGTATTACCCCTTTGTTGGAAATGTTTAAAAAGTCGTTTATAAAATCCTCGTTTATTATAGCTCCATCCGAATCACGTATGTTGAAAGAGGATCCCAATAATTCTGGGAAACACTGAGAAGCTGAAGTGTATTAAATTAGGTATACATGCATTACTTTTTTAACGCAGATCATACAAACCTTTAAGTTTAATAGATTCATAATTGCCGCTAACTGAAGCCCATACCAGTGTTTCTTTATAACGTAATCTTACATAATACGTTGTGGATGTGGAAGGGCACGCGTTTATGAAGGTATTTGTAAAGTCGATTTCGTAATTGTTATCAGTCTAAAGAAAATATTTTCATATGAGATTGAAAGAGAGGGTACTTTGGTATAACACAATTTCAAGGTTAACGTATTGGTCCAAACCCAAATATCGTAGCTTCAAGAAACAAAGGAGCAAAGTGGTGCGTAGTTTATCGTTCATATGTCACGTAGCATACAGATTACACTAAAACATGCAATATTTGGCTTTGGCACCGATTAAGCAATTGATAAAAAGGATCCCCATTTAGTTATAAAATAAAACATTGTTAATACTTACCATTGTGCAATCTTTTTGGAAACGAAACTCCACGCAGAGCCCAACAATGCACACAGAATGCACCGAATGCTGACGCTGGAGCGGGAAACACACATACCTAACTCATTCGTGTAGTCGAATTAACCCGAATACAGTTGCAAGTATTAATTTTTACAACATAAATGGGTAGTTCAGCACTTCCCGAAGTCAGCGGCACTTTTGTATGTGCAAGTTGACAATATCCAAGTTGTTGATTTCACTTGGCTTAGTTGTGAGGTTGGTTGATGCATTTTGTTAAAAACAGAAACAAAATGTGGTTCGAATCAACAAGTAGGATATTTAAACTATCCCGATTGGGACATCTATGAACCGGAGTAATTGTATGTCCACTTAATTTGCGAATGATTGAACACATGCAATTTGTTGGTTTCATCACTTGGGTTCTGTTAAAATAGCAGTGGTATGTTATTGCATTATCAAAAATATCTGCATTCAATGAACAACAAAAGAGTGAAATGTAGCCTTTACCAAATGATAATGTACCATGTTACTTGTGATCTAAAATTCTTGGTCGTCCATTTACCAAGATTAAACAGTTAATTTAGTCATAAACATTAGTTGTGGGAGCTGTTCCCTTAACAAAACACAACAAAAAGTTAGTTTCACTATTACTAACAATAATGTCCAATTTACATTCAGAAGGGCAGAAATGTACCGTATCAGTTGCGAATTAGTACAAACTTTTTCGTTATATGAGCAGCTCAAAAAGGACAAAAATATAATTGTTAAAACAACAGAATGTAACGGGAAGTCAACAATATTCCGATCAAGCAAATTTTTGAATTCTAAATTTTGCTGTTCCGACAGCAATTTAGTGTTAAATTTAACTGCGAATTATTAACTAAAACTGTTGTTGTAGAAATTAACAAATCATTTTTTACTGTGTAATACTAATTTTACAACTTATCCACGTAAAAGTGCTCGTTTATCTAGGTAAAAGCACATTTTTTATGAACAGAATTTTCGTTTTACGTTGATCATTTGTATTATTTTTACAAATAAAATAATGCACCTAAAGTTTTAATTCAACTATTTATTGAAATCATAGAATTCTTTTTGACAAACTTCAGGATTGCAAGTGTAGGGGGACGTATTGCAGTTGCGCCCGCTACCTGAGTTTTGGAGTTCAAAAAGTCTGATTTGCGCACATTTTTCTTTCTTAGCATCTGTGTAGATTATATGCAGAATTATCGTAAAAAATTGGTTTTCTTTATATCGAAATAGTAATATTATATAATATTTTATAGACGAAAAAGGCTTTTCCGCTTCCTAGAGACTTCTAGTGTCTGCTTCAATTTATCTGTATAATTTTTAATCAATTTCATACAACTCGTTGCTTCTCATCCTAAAAAAAAAATTGTTTTTACGCACTACAATCGCTGGTTTCTTATCGGTACCAGTTTTTCTTATTGTATAAATATAGTTGGCTATCCATTCATCATCATGCCGGACGTCTCTGGTGCGTGTTTAAAAAAAATCAAATCAAACCATACGGAAATTTCTTGCTCCACTTGCCATCACAAATATCACACGGAATGCGCTCATCTAAATGAATCCGATTTAAAATATCTGTGCGAAAATAATGAAAAAAGGAATTGTACTACGTGTATTTCTAACATTGAAAAAACACGAAGCGCTTCAGTGTCGTCCCAAAAAAATACAATACCCCCTACTGAAGATAGGTATTAATTTATAAAATGTTAGAAACACAACGTAATTATACAGTCTGGCTGTGGAAATGTAGGTACATATTTCAGTTGTAAAGGTACAATCGTATTTTAAAAGTACAGACATGTTCTGTAAAATTACAGTTGCAGATAGTTTCTTTACAAAACGTTTTGTGAAGTTACATTTAGGTATGTAGGTATACCTAATACTTATTTTTATATTTATGATCTGCATTTTTACATTCATAAGAGGTGCTAGAACACGAGTAATATGTAATATTTATTTTATGAAGACGATGTATTTTTACACAGCACTGGAATAAGTTGGTTACAAAATTGCTTACTATTTTCCGTGTATTTACGTATATATTTTTTTACAGTGCAGTTCCTCATCTGGTCCCGCCGCCTGGGGGGAAAATGGCCTAGGAAAACCCCAAGATGCGGCTGGGGGCGGTGTGATAGCAGCTCAGCGAGGAGGAGAAGCACTTCTTCATCGACAAGGCAAAGCGGCTGTTTGCGGTCCACAAGACTACAAGTACCGGCCGCGGCGGAAGACCAAAACGCTGCTGATGAAGGCCCAGTACCCGCTGGGGGTGCGCCTGCCGTGGTCTACCAGGGTAACCAGGACATGTACCGCATGCTGATGTCCAACCCTAACGTGCTCTACCAGCAAGCAGTACGGGGGCGCGAACTACGCCCGCTACGACGTGTCGCAGATGCAGTAGGTATATGAACGGGGGCTGCGCTTACGGGCCACCGTCCACAATAGCACCGGCAACAGACCTCGCACACGCCGACGCCGGGGCCCATCAAGAGGGAGTACCAGCGGCAGCAGCCCTTACCCTACTTATGGGAGCCGCTGTTCGGGCCTCTGGAGCTCCTGGACGTGCTGCCGCTGTGAAGTGTACGTATGCATAGACTTGGTTCCTTGAATCAGTATTGTTAATGTAAGGAGCGAACCGGTTTTATTTTGCCAAGTAAGTGGTACACAAGTAAAAATTGGATCACGTTAACCAAAAACGTACTAAGCGACAAAATTGCAATTTGAGTAATACCTACTAGAGTAAACTTTCATTAAAAACTAAAAATTTGTATTAATGTTTGAATAAAATTTTTGCCTGAAGAATACATGACTTTATGAATGTACTCTATTTTGTTAATGGCATCAAAAACACCCAGTCCTTTACAGTTTTAAAGAAGCATTTTGGCGCTTGGTTCTTTTTTGAGAAAACCGCATGATATTAAATTTATTATTCCGTAAAAAGTAATTTTTTGAAAAATATTATATACCTATATTTATATTAATTTAACGACCTGCTATAAAAAGGAACATATGCCATGAAACAAAAACAAAAATGATTAAGTTAAATTTGTTTCCCCTAATTCGAAATCGATATCATTTGAAAAACCCTCCACATAAAATTCACAGTTTATTGCCCGTAAGTTTTTGTAAAAGAGTTTTGGATCCTTGGGAATAAGAAGACGTAATGTTTTTAGATCTGCCAACTTTTTACGCGATATTGCTTTTCCATTGGGCCATAATGTAGACAATTTTCCAAAATTTTTAGAAGTCTTTTCCTTTTATGCATCAAAACTTCATTGTAGATCTCATTTTCCTGATTACTTTTCATAAAAATAGAAAGCGGTTTATCTTTAGTAAGTTTAATCACTCTTGTTTTCAAGCCTCTAATTTTTTGTTCATGTATGCCTTTTATTTGTGACACTAGACTCTAAATCGACTTCACTACAAAATGTTCTCTCATCTGCATAAACTAAACAATAAGTGGATTTTTCTCTTTACAATTTAATATAAGTAATATTGGCGTAATCTTGTGGCGTATATACTTAATGACTCCAAAATCTTTGTCATTAGGTAAAAAACTATGTTCCGAAACAAAAAATTTCAAATAAATCGTTTGTTAAGTAGAATGTTGCTATAAAATTGATTTTAGCATGAATATAAACATAATCCCAGATTTATTAAAGGCGCATAGTTCTACCTCAAATTTTGGTACAAAAATAATTAAGACAAATAAAGTATTTTTACAAATTAGTTTTTGACATTAAATTCTGACTGTTATGATGTTTAACTCATTTTTTGCGATTTGGCGCTTAGTACGTTTTTGGTTAACATCGTTCAATTTTCCTTATATCACATACCTGCCTACACTACAGTTTGTGCAAATGTATTTTTTTAAAGTGTACCCAGAAATTGGCACAAAGGGCAAGAAAAAAACTATTACTAAATTACAAGTTTGTAGATGTTTGCGAAATATTGGTGGGCCACATATAACTACGTAAGCATACCTATTGTTCAATTGCATTTATGTTACCTAACTTTTTTTTTATTCTTCTGTGTTGCGTTTTTATTCATTTTTTTATGTGTATATCTTTATTATACATTTAAACAGCATACGTAGTTTCTATTTTGATTTTCCTAGAACCTCTATTAGTTTATAAAATGTCAAAAATAAAACGTAATTGAATTATACAGACTGGCTGTGGAAATGTACAGTTGTAAAAGTACAATCGTATTCTGTAAAATTACAGTTGCAGATAGTTTCTTTAGAATTTTACACACCACTGGTTTAAGTTGGTTACAAAGTTGCCCACTATTTTCGGTGTATTTACATATATTTTTTTTACAGTGCAGAGATCGAACATCTACGGCATCATGCGGCCCATGAACGCCTTTATCCTGTGGTCGTGCCGGCTGAGGGGCAAGGTAGCCCACTACAATCCACAAATGGACCACAAGGCCACATCCAAGCGGCTGGGGGCCGAGTGGAAACTGCCCACCGGGGAGGAGAAGCGCCCCTTCATAGACGAGGCGAAGCGGCTGCGGGCGGTCCACAAGATGGAGCACCCGGACTACAAGTACCGACCAAAACGCTGGTGAAGAACGACCAGTACCCGCTGGGGGGCGGCGGGCCGCTGCAGTCGGTGGACGCTGCGCGGAGCGCGCCCGCCGCGGTCCAGTAGAGCACCATGTACCAGATGCCGATGGGAAACATGCCGAACGCCAAGTACATGAACCACAAGCCCTACCACAGCACTACGGGATCGCAAACTACGCCCGCTACGACATGTAGCAGATACAGAACGCGGTGCCCAACACCAACGGCTCGCCCTACGGGATGCAGCAACCCTCCTCGCACAGCCCGTCCGGGAGCAGCTTTGACCTGGGGCAGATGCTCTCCATATACCTGCCCACGGGGGCCGATGAGTCGGCCCCGCATATGGAACAGCCGCTCTACCATTGGAACTCCTGGACGTGGTGCCGCTGTGAAATGTACATATGCATAGACTTGGTTCCTTGAATCAGTATTGTTAATGTAAGAAGCGAACCCGTTTTATTTTGCCAGGTACTTAAGTGGTACAAAAGTACAAATTTTCCTTTATTATCGTGTAAATAGTCACTATAACGATGGTTCACTACCAAAAATTTTGTAAATAGGGCCCATTTTGCAACAACGAACCAAGTGTCTACTTAGCTTCTTTTATACACTCGGTAAAACTTTTTCCCCTTTACTATCTTTTTGTTTAGTTGTTGAGTTCTTCTTTTCGTTTTGTCCCGGCGCGCAGTATTTTATTATTGTGA